GACAACACCTAGTCAAGGGTTAAGATCCCCTTACCAGTCATCTTTAAAAAAAAAAAAAAAACAAAGACATCAGGAAAAGTAGTGTTAGCCCTGTGGAGAAAACAAATCTTCCCGAAGGACATCCCATTTTCCGCCCCAACCTGTCCTCTTCTTGACTGTGCACATGAGTTACAAGAGAATGTGAGCCTCCCACCCCCAACACAGTGAGTTGACTGTTCACTAGACTGACTAAGCCTCACACTCGGACCCTGTCAGAGCTGGGCATGGGGGGTGATCTTTGGAGAGCGCTTGTATGGAGTCTCTTCATTAGTGAGATGGGGAGACTGAGGCTCAAGGAGAAAGAGTACCCACAAGGAGTGGTCCTCATCCCCCCTGAAACTTCCCTTTCTCCAGGGCTGTGGTAGCTGGAGGCTTAGAAGCACTGATGGGCTTCTACAGGCACACGTCTAGGCTACCCGGCAGTGGGATTTCAGCTTCCTTCCCTCCCAGCCACCTCCTCCTGGCAGCGAACCTCTGGCATACTCTCTCATGCCCGCCTGTCCCCCAGACTTGTCCCAGAGCCAAGCACGGGACCTCACTTAATCCTAGTTATGTAATGTGCAATCCAAACAGTTGGCCAAGGAGGGGCTCAGCCAGAGCCACGCCCAGGAGTGGAGCAAAAGGCCCCAGCTGGGTCAGGGCTGGCGGACCAGGCTTGATTCTGCCTGTAGTGGCCACCACTCCTGAAGCCTCAGCCTGCACCATGAGCGGCCGAGTCGGAGACCTGAGCCCCGTGCAGGCAGAGGCATTGGCCAAGGTGAGAGTCTCTCCCCCAGAGCCTCAGGAGAGAGGGCTGAAGGAGGGGTGGGACGAAGTGGCCAGAATTCTGCTCCACTCTGTTGATTCAGTGTGTCCTTGACATTGACTCTTTGCTGTCATCTTCCAAAGGTAGAAGTCCCATGGTGCCCAGTGACATCAGTCTTGTCCAGGGCAGGGGAACAGCACCACATCCAGGCAGTAGTGCGGGTGAAGCAGCCTACCCAGCATCACAGCTGACTTCTTTTCCAGAAACCAGACCTAGAGAGCCTTATCTGGCAACTGCCCCCACCTTCCTCCCTCCCGGGCCCCTTCGGTGGGAGCCGAAGGCTGCTGCTGGTCTGCCCTCTATTCTGTTCCTTCTGCCTCCCTGAGGCCCTGAAAGATGACCAGTCTGTAAGAACCGGAGAGAAGGAGCAGAGTGTCGTCACACCCATAGTGGGGAAGAGGACGCATAATCACTAATCATGTTTTTGTAGAAGATGGGATGAAGAAAGGCAGAAGTCTTGGTGGACTAACATGTGGAGGGAACTAAGAATGCATCCGTACTCCAGTCCACTTAACCCCCCAACCATTTATCCTTCCTTCTACCTGCCCACCCATCTTACCACCCACTGGTCTGTCTTCCCACCCATCCATCCACCTACCCATCCCTCATTCTCTCTATTCACCCACAGAAATCTCCCTCCTTCTCTTCATCGACCCACCTCTCCTTCTATTCATTCACCTACCCATCCATCCACCCATCCATCCATCCATCCACCCATCCTTCCATCCATCTGTCCATTGATTTATGTTTCCTTTTTTCCATTCACCCACCCACTCATTCATTCATCCATTCTTCTTTCTATCCATTTATCACCCACCTATCCTCCTTCCATTCACCTACCTATTCAATGATCCATCCCTCCTTCTATCCATCCATTAGTCCATCTTTCCATCAATGTGGGCCAGACTGTGGAAGAGATGGAGGGGTAATAAAATAATCTCTGAGTCTAAAAGCCAGGGTTCAATGTGAGAGAGCCACTTCAACAGCATCTCTCTTCCCAGTTCCGAGAAAATGTCCAGGACGTGTTGCCTGCCTTGCCCAACCCTGATGATTATTTCCTTCTGCGCTGGCTCCGAGGTGAGGGCAGAGATAGGGGAGGTTGATGTCCGGTGGCAGCGAGAGGGTCCTGGTCCCAGCTGCTCCAGAAGGACCTGTGGCTCTCAGGAACTGGCCACACCATCTTGCTTCATGTGTTCAGGTCCAGAGGAGGGGAGGGGATTGGAAAGCCAAGTCCTATCCAGGCCCCCAGTGTCCTCTGTAGCTCCCACTGGCCAGGGGCAAGATGAGGAAGACTCTTTCTCATCTCATGCCTTTCTCTCCATCTTCCCACAGCTCGGAATTTTGACCTGCAGAAATCAGAGGCCATGCTCCGCAAGGTGAGACCTATCCACCCTGGAGTTTGGGGGAGGGGCTTTGTGGGGGGCAATCCATGCCTCAATTCCCTGCTCATCCCCTTCTCAGGGTGGGGGGATCCCAGTAGGGCCTTACCAATCATTTCCCTTTCAGTACATGGAGTTCCGGAAGACCATGGACATTGACAACATCCTTGATTGGCAGCCCCCAGAGGTGAGCCAATCCCCGCTGCCCCCCCAAACAAAACTCCTCAGTCTTTCACAGACATGCCACCCAAGCAGCCTCTGGTCACTGGAGACCATGAGTGAAAGGTAATGAGCCTGAGAGATCTGTGAAACTCCTGGGCCCCCAGGCAACTCTCCTATAATAATAATGAGTATTTCCTGGGGCCTTGCAAGACACAGGCCTGGGTTGAATTTGCCAGCACGAGCTCATTAGTCATCACAATCCTATGAGGTAGGTACTCTTGTCCCCATTTTACAGATGAGAACACTGAGCCCAGCAAAGTTTAAGCAACTTGCCCAAAGTCCCACAGCCCTGAAGTGGGACTGAGATTTGAGCCCAGCCTTGTCTGGCCCTCTGAAACCAGGCTGTTAAGCACCATGGTTAGTCAATGTCTATGTGCTCCTCCTCACTAGGGCTTTGCTCGAAGTGTCCTGTCTGGGTGGGAGAGAAACTTAGCCCACCAATGCATTGATGAGGACACTCCACTACTGGTGTCTTAGTAGAGTAATGGTCACAGCTTCGTTTGTGGGCCATGTACTCTGAGCCAAGGACTATGCTTTGCCAACATTATCTCGTAAACCAACAGTCTCAAGAGGGAGGGACTATCCAAACCATTTTACAGAGAGGTGACCACTTGCTCAAGGGCACACAGCAGGGGAAGCGGCAGTATCTGTATTTGAACCAGATCTGTTAGCCTTCAGAATCCACTTTCTCCATAGCTAAGCCCAACTCTTCTCCATGGAAAGTGACATGGGAGACATTAGAGGCAGATGTAAGGAGCCCAGAGGCCTTGAGCTAGGCAACCTGAAACCTGGCTTTGCCATTTACAGGCTGTGAGTAAGGTCCTCCTCCGCAGGATCTCAGTTTTCTCACTTGGGACAATTGCACGCCCTCCAGGGGAGGAACAGTGCTTTGTAACATGGTATGTGTAGTCTCGGCTCCCCAGGTCAGCCTAGACTGGGGGTCTCTGCGGAGGTGTGTAATACCAAGTTCTATGTATCTTCCCATGCCCAGGTGATCCAGAAGTATATGCCTGGGGGGCTGTGCGGCTATGACCGTGATGGCTGCCCCATGTGGTATGACATCATCGGGCCACTCGACCCCAAGGGACTGCTCTTCTCAGTCACCAAGCAGGAACTGCTCAAGACCAAGATGAGAGACTGTGAGCGCATCCTGCATGAGTGTGACCTGCAGACAGAGCGGGTGAGCCCCAGTCCAGGTGGGGCAGGTGGCTGGGGGCAGATGACGTGCTGGAGGCCATGGTCCCCAAAACACACCTGTGTTCTCTACCTCCATAGTCAGAGGGCTCTCATGTCAAACCCCATCTCTGCTGCTTACCAGCTGTGTGGCCTTGGAAAGTCACCTCACCTCTCTGAGCCTCAGTTTCCTCACCTACAAAACAGGGATAATAATAAACAATGGTTGCAAAGATTAAATGAGATCATACAAGTATATGGCTTAGCACACGGGCCTAATACTTATTTCTCAACAGTAGTAGTTACTGCTATTCCTGAGTCTTTGCCCTTGCCTTTACTTCAGTCTGAATAACCCTACCCCCCACCACACACACCTACCTCCCACAACTTCCTTGAGCTCTGTCTTATTTATCCTTTAGGCCTCAAAGTTAGTGTCACCTTCTCTGGGGCCCCCATCTGAGTTAAATACCCTTCATCTGTGTTCCCACAGCCCTTGTGCTGTCCCATCACAGCACTTATCACAGGACTGGAATGCTCTGGTTGCTTGTCAGTCTCCCCAACAACAAATCTGTGAACCCTTTGAGGACAAGAACTGTGCATTATTCATTATACTTTTGCACAAATTAAGTGCTTAATACATATCAGTTGGGCAAATGGAAGGATGAACGAATGAATGAATGGGTGGATAAATGGATGGATGGGTGATGAATGGATGGATAGATGGGTGAATGAATAGATGGATGATGGATGGGTGGATGGATGGATGATGGATGGATGAATAGATGGGTGAATGAATAGATGGATGATGGATGGATGGATGGATGGATGATGGATGGATGGATAGATGGTGAATGAATAGATGGATGATGGACGGGTGGATGGATGGATGATGGATGGATGGATAGATGGTGAATGAATAGATGGATGATGGACGGGTGGATGGATGGATGATGGATGGATGGATAGATGGTGAATGAATAGATGGATGATGGATGGATGGATGATGGATGGATGGATAGATAAATGAACGGATGAGTGAGGAAATACATTTACTGTTTTGTCCACTTGCTCTTCTGAGGACACAGTGGGGGGCTGGAAGAATCCCTGAGGGGTCATGTACTCAGGTCACCATCTTCCAAGCCTGCACCATGAACCCTGGAACTGCTCTTTCCTCTCATCCTTGCAGCTGGGGAAGAAGATCGAGACCATTGTGATGATATTTGACTGCGAAGGCCTGGGACTGAAGCATTTCTGGAAACCTCTGGTGGAAGTATACCAGGAGGTGAGGAGAAGGCTTGTGAATATCCCCCCACCCCCCAACTTGCTTTGATGACCAGCTTGGCCTGCGGTGACCATGCTGCTCGCTCACAGCCAATATTTAGTAAAAGATGGTTTCCTTCCCGGGGCCCATCACTGCGACTCAAGATCCATATTAAAACATCTTAATATGTTTCCTAGAAGATCTCACAGGACAGGTTTCAGGGATAACACTGTTCCAAGACCACAAGAAACAGCTTCCCCAAACCTTTCCCAGACCTGTCACCACTAGCTCTGTGACTTTGGAAAGTCGGTTCACCTCTCTGTGCTTCAGTTTCCTCACCTACAATATGTGAATAGCGATGCAGGGATACTTCAGAGCTGTTATGTAAAGTGTGTACATAGTGCTTGGCTAATAGTGAGCACTTAATAAATAGTAGTCATCATCATCATTATTATTATACTATCATTACTGTGACATTTATCCTAAAAATGATTATTATTTTGTAATTATTATTAGGGTGTGGTTATAGTTGTCTGAGATGAGAAGGTCCCCTCCAAGGGCCAGTGGAGGTGATAACAAAAAAGAAAACACTCCAGAGCTTTCTGAAACCTCCAGACAGGAGATTACAAAGGAGATGAGGGTAGCAGAAGATGAGATGTGGGCTCTGACAGGATCTTTCTTGGTTCCACAGTTCTTTGGCCTCCTTGAAGAGAATTACCCAGAGACCTTGAAGTTCATGCTCATTGTGAAAGGTGTGTGGCAAGTGACTTTATTTATCTGTGCCTCTGTTTCCTCATCTGTTCCTTGAGGACAATAACAGTGCCTTTGTCTCAGGGTGTTTTTTGTTTGTTTGTTTGTTTGTTTGTTTGTTTGTTTGTTTGTTTTTAAAAAGATGACCGGTAAGGGGATCTTAACCCTTGACTTGGTGTTGTCAGCACCACACTCTCCCGAGTGAGCCATGGGCCAGCCCTTGTCTCAGGGTTTTGAGGAAGAAGGCTGGGTTCTTGGCTGCATGCAAATCACTTAAAGTGCCTGGCACAGAGTAAGTGCTCAATAAACAGTAACTTCTATGGTTAGCCTTACTGCAAGAGGGGGAAGCTCCAACCCCAGTTCTTTCTGATATTACCATCATTTCTCCTGCCCGTGATGATCTCTCCCTCCCCCAACTGCCTCTGGCATTGGCAGCTGGTGCAGCCCAATCCTGCCTTTCCTGTTTGCTGCCTTCTGAGGACCTCCAGTTGTCTTATGTGTGTTCATCCTGTTTTTCTGACTGAATTGTCTTCTCCTTGAAGGCAGGGCTCTGATTCTCCACTTCTGTTGTATCCCTCACATACCTGGGGCCATATGGAGATTCAATAGGTTTTGGGGTGGTTATTGTTTGGGTGGGTGTGTAGACAGAAGGATGGATGGATGTTTGATGGCTGGCTGGCTGGTTTGTTGGTTCATTGATCAATTGATTCCTTGGTTGGTTTTCCAGCTGACCGGCCTATTGGTTGTCTGGCTAGTCAATTGATCGGTGGTTGGTTGGAGAGTTGGCTGGCTGATTCATTGGCTATTTGTTAGCTTGGTTGACTGATTGGAGGGCTGGTTGGCATTTTGGGTGATTAGTGTTTGGGTAGCTGGTTGGCAGGTTGGTTCATTGGCGGTCTGGTTTGCTGTTTGGCTGAATCTTGAATGGTTGCCTGGTTATTTGGATGGTTGGCTGGCTGGTTGTTTGAATAGTTAGCAATAGGGTGGAGGGGGCAATTGGTTGGGTAGTTATATGGCTGTTCAGTTGGCTGGTTGGTTTGTTGTTTGGCTGATTTGCTATGTGGTTGTTTGACTATTTAGTAAGTTGGCTGATTGGTTGGCTGGTTAGAAGGTTGACTCTTTGTTGGTAGGTTGGCTGGCTTGTTGAATAGTTGGTTGGCTGTTTGGTAGGTTGCTTATTTATTTGTTGACTAAATGGGTAGCTGATTAGAAGATTGGATGATGGACTGGTTTGTTGGCTGGGCAGGTGGTTGATAGATTGGATGAGTGGTTGCTTGATTGGTTAGTTGGCTGTTTGTTGGCTGGTTGGCTAGTTGGTTGGATGGCTTTTTGGATGCAGGGCATTGAAACTATCCAGAGTTTAGTCAAAACTTGTCTATATTATTAACTATCATCATTATGGAGAGAGTGGCCCAGTGGAATTTTTCTCTACCCATTATCTTTATTTCTATCTTTCCAGCCACCAAACTGTTCCCTGTGGGTTACAACCTCATGAAGCCCTTCCTAAGTGAGGACACTCGCAGGAAAATTATAGTGTTGGGAAGTAAGTAGTGCCAGCTCCATTCTCTGAGATCTATACAGGAACTTTGAAGTGAGGTTGGCTCATCACCCGATCCAGAACTGCACGCATCAGCTAGGGTCAGAGGCTCCTTCATCCCAAAAGTGAGGTGGGTTTCACCCTATAGAGTCTATCAGTTACCTATGCCTTACTTCCTGCCATACATCTTTGGTGAATAAGGCCTTCACATGTATCTCCTTATGGGTTTCAGTTTGGTTGCCATTTAACCTCTGGTCTATGGGCCTCAGTTTCCTTTTGACGTTCATAAACTCAGTGCTTCTAAAGGCAACTTGGGATGAGGAAGATGAGGAAGAAGATCAGGAAGAGTAAACATGATTCAGAGAAGGGAGGCCCAACAAGAAGAGACTGGATAAGTAAATAATGATGCACACATTTGATGAATTTGAGGAAGCATGAAAAATAATGCTGTGAGTAAATATTTAATGTCATCGGAAATGTCAGTAAGTAAAAAAAAAAA